GGGAATAGCAGTGAAGATGTGCTCTTGCAAAGCTGGGGAGTAAGGAAAAACCCAAAAGTCTCCCTTCGTGAACCTGTAGGATTTCTGCACTCGGGAGAAGGGTTATGATGGGCTAGCTAAGCAGGACCAACAAGCGGCAGCACACGTACCACAAGTGCAGCTATCTTGAGAAGACCGGCTTTCTCGGACTCTTATACCTAAAGGCCAAGCTGATTATTCAGTTTAATTTCTACCAGCTGACACAGAGAAGTGATCCATCCTAGTCAGACCAGGGCAGGATCCTGTGCGTCTGAGGTCAGCTGAGCCCAAAGAACACAGGGAAATTCCTCCTTTGTTTCCAGTTTCAGACGTCCCTTGGAGCTACCCATTGTTTCCCTCCCTCTTTTTATAAAGAGTTGAGTGCTGCCCTCCCAAAAGTAGGATAAGGTCTACACCATTTGTTGTTCATCTGGTTGACTCTAGTCTTCCAGTTCTACTTAGTTTTAAAAACCAAGGAGCACCGCCGTTCAGTAGTCTGAGTCTCTAGGTCAGTCTTCTGCAAACTTCTTTTGGGAGTTGAGTGAAGACTGGCAACCCAGGAGAGAGTTTTCCCATCCTCAGAGCAGGCCCAACCCTCAGCTGCTAGGCAAAGGGTCTGTCCTCCCTGAGCCCCCTGGATGAAAGGGATAATTGCCTCTCCACGGATCCCCGAGTCTGCCTTTCCCAGCGGGGCCACTAGGTAAATGCAGTCTTTGCAACGTGGACGCCTGCCAAGTGGAATGAAACCACAACCACGTCCCAAACATCCAACTGCCAGGAGCCACCACGGGACGGACTCTCAGGAAAGCCTTCCAGCTCTAGATTTCTGCTCACTGCCAAGCCATCTACCTCTCTGCTGCTGCTTCTCAGGTTGCCACAGGCTAAATGCCATTACTTTGATTTAAAATGTGAGTCAAGGCATCCACGTTTTGGAGAAGGGCAAGTCAAGCAGCAGTTAGTCAAGTTCCTGCAGAGCATCAAGCTGAGGGGTTTTACCTAGCAAAGGAGTTGGACTTTGCTGATGGACCTGACACGACCACTCGCGCAGTTCAGAGCCAGTCTGGTTTTAGGATGAATCCCATCCCCATAGGGTGCCCAGCAGGGTTTCATTTCTGGGATTCTTTTACTTCGGTCTGTCTGCAGCTTCTTGGATGCTGCCTTCAGTGTGAGATGGTTACATCAGTCCTTCCCCCACCCAGCACGGATGGGTCTACCTTGGCTGGCAGCAGGTGCATCATGTGGACAGTGAGTCTGTCATCTGCTTCAGTCCAGTTTTCCTAGTGGGCCCGCACTGGGCTGGCTTCTTTACCTCTAGTGATGGAATTAGTTAGCAGAAGGATTTCCTCTTCCACAAAGACACCTTCACTGCCCGACTCTTCAGAGCAATAGCCAGCTTTGTTTGGCTGTGTAGTCTCAGGACTACGCCTGGCTATAATTAATACAGCACTTCTGCGCAGCAAGACTCTAGGGCACAGGATGGGGTGCACAGTAATAAATAGAATTATCTTTACTGACTGCAGCCCCTCGGAGAGCAACGCCAACATGGCTTGGCACTTCTTCAGTTCAGGTTTGGCAGGGAGGGCTTCTGCAGCAAGGACACCGCTGAGCAAGCCACGCTTACGAAACATGCAAGCCAGCCAGGTTCAGGGCCTGCTGGGCTCTGCTTTTGAACGCTGCTGTCTCAGATGTGTCAAGAGCAGCAAAGATGGGATAGGAAATAGAAAGCAAAAAAATCTGGAAGGGTGAGAGCTTTTCAGGTGCGACAACCCAGTAGATTCTCCGGGATCGATGCTTCCAGGACAGGAGGAGGGGGCGTGAGGTTTTACCAAGAGATGAGCAGAGCCCTGAGCATTAGTCCTGCCTGGTCATGTCTGGACACACTTGACAAGTGCAAGCAGGTCTCCATATCCTCTACACCCTTCCTGCACTTTTTGGGGGAAGGAGGTCTGATATTGGGGGGACTCTGTAAAGATTGCTTTGTGCCCACCGACACTTCTAGCAGAGTGTGCAACCTAGGAGACAAGGCAGGAGTTACCCCATCTCACTGTACCTCCAGGCCTTTTATTCCCCTTCAGGGAGAGATATGATTAATGGGGAAACTTGCTTTCATTAGCAAAAGCACTCGGCTACCAGAAATAGCCCTCGCTGGCAGACGGGCAGAGCCTCCCCTTTACCATCGCTCTGCATCATCAGTGCAACCTGTTGCCCTTCCATTCTGCGCTGGATGCCAGGTCTCGGTGCAGCACGTTGTAAGCTGCAGATGCCCGGGCAAACATTTGAGCTGATTAAAAACTCTTAGTGGCATCAATGGAGGGATTAAAAGCCCTCGAACGTGCCCTGCTCCAAACAGCCTGCGTCAGTTCAGCTGCGTCTGCTGTTTCAAGAGCCATTGTACTCAGGGGGAAGAAAAAAAAACAAAAAAAAAAACCTCTCTAGGGTTGAAAAATGAGGGCTCTTTTTTGAAGATTCGCCAGCATCTTGTATCACTCCAGCAGGATTGCTCTCCCCTGCTAACGAGGCAGGCACATAGAGAATGGTTCAGACTCTCCCCTCTGGCATCTCCTTTCCAAACCATGTGGACGCCCCACTTCCCCACACAGCAAAAGGCCAACTGGTTTATCTGGGCAGTCCTAGAAAGCAGAGCTGAATTCTCACTCCTTTCCTGGTGCCTGCTGCAGTGCCGCTCCTTTTATTCTGTTAGCATGAAGCCTTTTAACCAGATTTCCTAAGGCAGAGAGGGATCTGAATAGCTTTCTGACCGGTAATTACAAGTAGACCCCAGATCACTCACATCCAGGTGGTTCACAACTGCTTAATACTCAGCTGGTTGCGGAGTAAAAGGCAAACCACTGTTTGGAGTAGCTTTTACTTCGAAAAGCGCCTCTTCTCTTCTCAGCTGGCATTCGTCAGCAGTCTCAGCTCATCAGAGAAGCGGCAGCTTGTGAAATGAAAGCCACGGCAATCATTTAAGAGCACCTGGTTTGTTGTGGCGCTGTGACCCCAAGCTGGCTCGCAAACCCTTGTCTCTGCAAGGGCTGCAGAAGCCAAGGGCATGAGGCAGCCAGGTTCTGCTGCATTTTTTCTTCCAGGAGGTTGTCATTAAGTCAGCAGTGCTGTTTTATTTGAGGACTGGGCTGACTTCCTTTGAGGTGGGGAAGGACCATTTCCCAGAGCCCATGGCTGTAGGCTCACCACGTTTCTCTGCGCAGGCAGAAGGCACCATCGGATGGGCAGGACTGGTGGGCAGCAGGGCAGGAGTTTGGGGGAATCCTAGCTTTCCTCGACTGCTATGAATCAACGTGACTGTGCCGAAACGACCAGGTCATCAGCAGAGAGAAGCAAGGGTATTTCTCCACTTGTTTGTCTGGCTGCAGTGAGGTCCTTTCAATGCTGAATCTGAGCATTTGCAAAACATCCCTGAAAGTTTTAGGCATTAATGGACTACCCAGACTTAACTTATGGTGAAAATTAGAGGGGCATCCACAGCCCTGGCACCAGGGTAGCACCTTATCAGCTCCAACTGTGATCAGAGCAGCCCTGGGGAGGGCAGGCATCGACTTCATCCGCATCCTCTCCATGGGGCTGAATTGATGATGCCCCGAGTGGTATAAACGACCTGGTCTGGATGCAGCCTGCAGACATTCTCCCCCTGCGTCCAGACAAACACGCAGAGAAGTGCCGCGGAGCGGAGCATAGGGGCTCCCTTCTCCCAACCCGTTATACAAGCTGAACGATTTACGTGCTGCTGAAATGAAGGGGGGGGCCAGGGAGAATAGGAGGTTGGCACTGAGCCCCTGGCATGGGATTGCACTGGGCTCAGTCTACAGAAACAACACAAGCCTACAGCCCTCCTGGGACTAGTTAAACCAAACCCAGCTGAGGGTGCAGGCTAGACTTGGTGGCACGAGACCAACGGCTCCCTCTTCTGCTTGACGAGCCCCAGTGGAAAGCTAACTAGCCAAAGGGGTGTTCCGTCACCCCCAGCCCAGACACTTAGCCCGAGTTGCTTTCTCGCTTGCTTGATCCACTGCCCTGTGCATTTGTCAAAATCTGCTAGTCCCAGTGCTCCACCTTTACTTGGGCACGTTTGTGCGGAGAGCTGGAAGTGTTGTGAACAAGAGCTCTGCTGGGCACGTCTCACGAGGCTCACGGAGAGGTGGCTTCTTGTCGCAAGGGATGCTCCTATGAGCTTTGCCTGGAACACCGTTGCAGACCCCTTTCCAAGGATCGGTGCACTATTTACATTTAACCTCGCACTGCACAGTTAAGTGACTGGCCTCAACAACCAACCTGTAGCGTGACATATATATATATATGCAGTCATCTTGGCAACATGCTATTTGTGCACCAGTTACCCGACTAGGAAGGGAAACGCTCTCAAATCCAGATGCGCTCCAGTCAGTCAGTCCCAGCTCAGTGGCAAAGGCGCGGATAGGAAGAGGGGTGTGTAACAATTCAAGACCAACATCTCAGATTGTTCAGGAGTAGAAATAAGTACTGGTGTGGTCCCTCTACAGTCACTCCTTTCCATGACCACCTACACTTCCAAGCACTTTAATTACTGTTTTACCTTTCTTTTCTGGTTGAGTGCTACCATCCTATGCAACTAGTGCGAGAAATCACAGGTTTATACCATAAAATAATGTGGACTATTCAATTCCTGCCTGTGTGCTATATTACGCTCTCTCTCTCACCATGTCAGATATTGGCTATTATTGGCGTTGGGAGTGAAACGTGGGGGAACATGGGGAAAGGAATGACGCAGCAGACAGGCGCTCTGGGCAACCAATACAAGGGTTTTCAGGGCACTACATTACATCCCTAGTCTCTGTCCTCCGCCCCAACACACGCATGCATGCACGCACGCACACCCCAACTCTGGTGCCTAGAACAAGACACACATGCACACATCCCCCCCCAAAACCGTGCCTGGAACGAGACAGTGGCAGTACCTGATCTTTATTGCTTTTCTTTCTTTCCAGGTTTATTTACCAGGGACCTACAATCTCCATGATTTACATGCACAGAGGGAAGCAAAGGATAAGGGACACAAACTAAACAGAAGATCGCTCTACAGCCGGATCCCTGCAGCAGTCAGCTTTTGGTTTTTTGGGGTTTGGTTTTCTTTCTTTTTTTGGCTGCCTGAGACTTAGGAAGAGTGAAGCTATGCAACCCACTCAGTCACAAGACTGTTGGAGAAAGTCAGGAAGAGTATACTTCTCTCCCTCCTGCCCTCAGCTCCCCCCTGTTATTCAGCCAGAATTCAAAAGGCGTTTCTAGCGAAGACGCGTTTCCATACGCGGATCGGGATTGGAAGCGTAGCAAGGCAATCGCTGCTACTGGCAAGTACCAGAACCGAATCAGGATGTGCACGAGTTTGGTTTTTAAACATTAACATTCATTACCTTGAGGGGGGTGGCGGCTGGGGGAAGAGGATCACTAGATTTGCTCTGTAATTTGGTGGTGGTAGAAAAAAAGACTGAGAGGTCTTTGAAAGTCTGCGTTGCAAACGAAGTCTTGGTTTCCAGTCCAATGGCTCCTTTCCAGGTAGGCGCTGCCCACCCTGTGAAACAACCGACAGTAGAGCGCAGTAGCCACACGAGACACGAAAGGAGGTTGACTGGGCAAGATCCTTGTTCCCTTCAGACGTTCTTCCCCCGTAGCACTAGGCAGCCATGCCCGTTTCTGTAACGGGCACACGGGGAGTCACCGGGTTAAGTTTTCAGGTGACAAACTGAACTGTAGGGAGGAGGACAGAAACAAAGGCAGAAAAGAACAAGTAACCTGAAGTTACTGGGGGCAGCCTTCTTACAGCTAGTTATTTATTGTATGGTTTCCAGTCTCCTGCATAAAACTGTTATTCAGCAAATGGTAAAAACAGCTTTAGGGAGCAAAGACAACACTATTGTTCAAGCCTGGCCCTGTTGGTAAAGTTTCTCTGCGGCGGAAGGCCGAGATAAGGAGGTTGGCACATGATTAGTCTGTTAAGACTTCATTTCTTTGCCGACTTGAGCTGCCCTGACCTCCTGGGGCTGACCTATGCCACGGTCTCAATCAGTCCTTCGCTTTGCTCGCCGTAAATACAGTGCAAAGCATCCTTTTTAGCCCTGCAGTTAAAACCTCTTTTGAACCCGAACGTCTTCCAACCGTATTAAACGCCGGGTGCTGGTCCAGGAGACACCGGTCACATTATTCCAACCAGGCCTCTCTGCCTGAAGTGTTTCATGCTCGTCGTGGATCGGTTCCCAGTTAGAAGAGGTCCCTGCTGATTTCTCATCCCACAGACCAGAGCTTTACAGCAATATGCCCATTGTTTTTGGGGGGGGAGCTGGGGGCTTCAGTGTTGTCTTTGTCCCTCCCTTGTAACTCTTGTCCACCTGTTGCTGCCCCTTCGTCTGCTCGCTATTCTGTCCTGTTCCGTAGAAGCCACGAGGGCTGTAGCGAGGTCGGAGATGGCCCCTAGGGTTTTTACCTCTGTCAGAGCAGGTAGAACCCAACGATGGTAGAAAATGTATCTGGCGCTTTCCTGGATGTCGTCGGGGAATAGCAGAGCTGTAGCATGGAGCAGTAGCTTTTGTGCTTTTCCCTGCATGATTCAACATCTTGTCTTGTGAACATTTCACTCGGATCTAGCGACCAACGCATCGCAAAGCCAGGAAAAAGACCCTGCTCTCTCTGCTCCTCTTTCACCCACTCCCACTCACATAGATGCTCCAGTGGGCAGCCACAGCCAGACCTTGGACACATTAACTTTTTTCCTGGATGGTTAATTATGGCTATGAAGTTTGGGTTTGGTTGAGTAGACGTAGTATTGGCATGTCTGCCTCAGCCACAGAGGACTGTCAGGCCTTTCTAGCTTTGGTTCAGTTTTGCTGGTTGAGTTTGCTGATCTCCAGCTCACGTAGCAAAATCTAAGAAGCTTCTCGCAGGTGAAGTTAAAGGGTGGACTTCTGCCCTTCCCAGTACCGAAGGATCCCTCAATTTGAGCAGGAATATCCAGGCAATCTGTAGTGGAGCAGGTATTGAACCAGAGTACCTCAGTTCCTAGGGCAGTGCCCTAATCTCTGGGTCATCTTCCCTCCACTTGCAGCCTTTACCATACTGTGCTGCCAAGTACTAGAACCATTGCTGGGCCTCCTCGTACCAGTTATGGTCACACTGGCCTTCCCTGGCAGAAGGAGCCCCGAGATGGATATTCAAGTACTGAAGAAGGTAGCTCCAAGCAGGAGAGCTGCTTTAGCTCACGCGTCTTGCAGAACTTTCTGCTCAACTTGCTTACCCTCTCCAGGGGTAGGTAGTCCTTGTCCACATGTGCGAGGGGATGGGATCTTCAGCATCCTTTTTGGCAAGTCGGCCACATACAGCTGATAGAAAAAGTCACATTGGCTCCCTTACCCAAATGCACTGCAGGCCAAAGCCATCCAGCAGCCACCTGCTCAGCCCCACTGCGATCCCAAACCGCCTTCAAGCCACACATCTCCACCTTGGCTTTTGTATCATAGATGTCTTGAAACAGGTTGATGTTAGCAAGGTCGACCATAGTGCCTTACAGGATTTAGAGAAGAGCTCAAACCTTGGAATAAGTAGGGTGGTTCCCTGGTTAAAATTTCAAAGCATCTCCCCTTCCATTTCCTTCTTGCCGTGGCTTTGCTGCCGATGGCTCTCTGCCTACCATGATCCTATGGAAGCTGCCCACCGTTTGCAGGTCATGGTGGCTCACATCTGGGTCCATAGGGCCCTGCCTAAACTCCTTGAAGAGGAGCAATATCTGATGAGGAACGGCCCAACCATGGAGCGAGCATTGCGGTGCATGCAGAGCCTTCCAGGGAGGCACAGCTCTTTCCTCTTGCATGACAACGTGCGTCTGTCAAGCTCCTGTGTCTCACCACTGCTGGCTGAACTTCTCACCCAAGTCTAAGTTGTTGACATTGGGGTTTGGAGCTGGGGAATTTCCAGCTTCTGGGAAAAGGAGTCAAGCCTGGGGCTCAGGACACTGCTCTCTGCTGCCCAGGTTCATGGAAGGGGCTCTCCCAGTTTCCAGCTGGCCACATTGAAGCTTCAAACCCCAGCACCAATGGGACCGGTTTTGTTTCCGTGAGCCCTAAGCCTAGCCAGGGATGGGAGGGCAGGGGCTCCTGCAAGGAAAGCCTGCTGCCGTGGGGGCTTGCGCTGGAGAGCTAGGCTTTTTCCCGACCTGGTGTAGCTCTGTCTCGTGATAGGCGTGATTGTATTCATTGTTTACTTCCAAATCTCCTGTTTACAATGGCAGCGTGGGGGGGGACCCGAAGAGCGCGCTGGTACTGCGCCGGGGTACCACAGCCAGAGAGATGCCTCAAGGAGGGGAGGATAGAGATGACCCTCCCTGGCGAGCCCAACCTAGCTGTCCCCCTTCACCCCCTGCCACTGCGTCCAAGGCCCAGCAGTGCTAGCGACAGAGGCAATCATCCCCCACGGTCTTCCTTTACTCCTCAGGATCCAGCTCCTTGACATATCAGGAGGCTCCCCGAGTCTTTCTGGAGCAATAATACTTTCCCCATCGTTGTGAACTCTCCCCCCGGTGCACGTTGTGACTCTTCTCCTCTGTGTGCAGTATCTAGTCTGGGTTTAAGCCTGCCCAGGCACAGCGGGCTGGAGCCAGGACGCGGTTTAAGGCGATAGAGGGGGAAACAGGCTGCTGCTGGGTCTCATTCCCCCCTCCACATGCACTGCCAAAGCTTCCTCTGGGGAAACAGTCCAGTCAGTTCATACCCTGCACCGCTGTTGAGGCCCCCACTCTCCATTCATTGCCACGCTGCTCTGGACCGGGGTAAGCACCTTTCAGACTTGCCCCCTTTCTCTCCTACCTCCCCAGAGGCCGCGCTAGGCAGCGCTGCCCAGGGTCCTTCTGCCCGGCCCTCCTCTCCAGCCGCATGCTGCATCTTGGCGTCGCGTTCGAGCAAACACTGGTCCTTTTATTCAAGCCACGCAGGTCTACGGCTTGGTGCGGTTGCCGCGTCTTGGAGCTCGCCCCTGTGTTTGTTCCGACGCTTGGCAACACTGGCTTGTGTAGCTGAACAAAGCCAGTTCCTTGGCATTCAGATGCATCCCTTCCTGCTCTAGCGCGAGCCCTGACTACTGCTGGAGCATCTGGCCGTAGTTCCTAGCAACTGCACAGGCTGTTTTGTTCTCTCCGCTCCGCGGCTAGTCATTTCCTATGCAAATCGGTGCCGTGCCTGCCTGTTAAGTAGGTGGGTCGCCCAGCCCCATCATGCAGACCCGATGACGGCGCGAAAAGCCAGCCTGCCGGCTCTTCTAAAACGCAGCCACTTACCGAGGACTCTCACTGCATGCGGACACGTGTGTCCAACAGCATCTCACACCCTCTCTAGAGGCATTCACTTGCCAAGGGAAGTGCCATAGGAAGCAGCTTCTAGCTGTCAGGGGACAAACCCTTTTCCTGCAGCTTGTCCAAATGCTTTCACCCCCAAGGTCTGGCTCCCCGAGGGGGGTAGGACTCCTGGTTGGAGATTGAAGCACATCTCTGCCCAACTGGCTAAAAGCAGGAGGCTTAAACCCAGACTCCAAACTCATGACGCTAGTAAAGAAATCTGTATTTTTTTTCTTTTTTTGCACAGAAGCTGGTAATCTAGGACCTATGTGTGAACAACTTTATATCAATATTTTTTGTACTTGGTTTACTCGGGTTGGTATGAGACGTCGTATTTAAGTTCTTTGAACACTGTGGATCCCCTGATGTGTATGAATGGCAGAGGCTTTGTAAATTAAGAGACGTTTGTGTGAATAAAGCTATTGGATGGGGTGGAAAAGCCATACAGGATTTGACACGCGAGTTTTGTGCCTTTGTTTGCAGCCTTCCAGCTGACACCTTGGTAGGGGAAGGGAGTCCTTGGAACAACAGGCCCAGACCTGTGGCTGCTGTTGAAGAATCGCAGGGGCTGGGGAGTGGGTCAGGACCACCGGGCTTCCACTCTCCCAGCACAGGCATGGTCAAGGAGTCTGATGGGACCACAGCACCTGCTTGGTACCCTGCCTCGAGAAGGCAGGATAGGCCCAGGCGCATTTTGAACAGGAGGGACAGGGAGAAAGCAGGATCAAGGCTCCATTTCTGCACCCCATGCATTAGCACCACCAGCACCATCATCACTGCTTTCAACACACACGGATCAGGGCCCCCGGTCTTCACCTGGAGCCTTGGCTGCCAGACACCCCCTGTCCCCCAGAGCTGGTTTCTGCCCTGCGCAGGAGTTGGGGAACCTGGCTTGCCCTTGGCGTAGGGTCTCCGGGAATGGCTCAGAGAGCCTGCAAAGGGCAGAGCAGAGACACAGCCCTCCCCACAGCTGGTGGTGGAGGCTGGACATCACCCTTGCCCTGCAGCTGCCTGCACCCCTCCTGCAGGGTCCGGTGGTGGCTCTGGGTCACACTTAGCAGCCGACAAGCTGGGAGGGAACAGGCTGGTTCAACCAGCCCAGACCAAGCTGGACGGCTTAATGGGGGCTTTGCATTTTCCAGCTGCACCTACTCTGTTAATGAGTTAAGAGTTAACGACCTGCCCCAGCTCCAGGGAACACCCCAGCGGTGCCTGTCTCCTCCTGCTCCCTGCTCCAGCAGCGGGAAGGCCCCTGGGGCTAGTTACTGGGCTACTGGGGAGCGGCCTCCTGGGGCCACAGCCTCCCCCGCCACCCCAGGAGAGGGATACATTTATTCTGTGCTGCAACACGAGGCTCCAGGAAGCACCAGGGCTGGTGTCAAGGGCCCTAATTTAGCCTTGGGCCTCAATCCCAAGCAGACACGCCTGCGCCAGGGGCTTCAAGGTGTCACAAGCAGCAGGGAGTCCTGGCACAAGCTCTGGGTCCCAGAGAGAGACCCCAAGACCCCCTTCCCTACAAGGAGCCGACAGCCCCGGTCTCCTGCCACGTGCACTCCCCCCTGCTGCTGGGAGAGCGCTCTTGGTGCTGCCTCCTCCGTGGAGGAGGCGAGGTCCGGCGGGCCCGTAGCCGGGGGCTGTGAGAGCATAGGCACAGGCGTTGTCACGCTGCAGAGTCAGCACTTCTCTGCCCCTTCCAAACCAGGCCGCACATGCTATATGGACCGCAAAATAAAACCACAGCACCAGATGCGATCCCCTCTCCAATCGCTCCTCCCATCCCAGCCACGAGAACTTAGCAGCATTGCCCTCCCAGCCAGAGACGTGCCCGGAGAGATGGACGGCATGGGGCGCGGAGCCACCGCCTTCCCCTGCAGTGGCTTCGGACACATGCAGGGCTGGAGCTGGCCCCGTGGCTCCGGGAAGCCGAGGTGCTCCAATCCCGAGACCTAGGGCTCCAGGCCACGACAACCTGCAGCAATTTTCCTGGCGCTCTACGTGGCCCCCGCAGCGTTATCATTATCAGTCGCCACCCTGCAGATTAGGATGAAGGGGGTCCATTTCCCACCGCAACAACACACTGCAAACCGATGCAGGCGGTGTCCCAACAATTAACAGGGAGAGGCAGTGACCAGCTAGAGAGCAGAGAGTCAGCACTGCTCTCCCTGACGTCCAAGAGCCAAGGAGGGCGAATGCCTTTCTGCACAGTTTACTGGACAAACCCAGGCCAGGATCCCCAGAAGACGGAGGAGCACCAGGCTCAAGGTGGAAAGCACACCCGCAGGCCCACAGACTTCAGCAGCCACAAACAAGCCCCCACCATTTACCTAGATACAGCAGGCCAGGAGTGGTTACACCTGGAACAGAGGTGAGCTTGCTAGGGAAGGCAACTTCCCCTGCCAGCCACGAACTGCCAGGCTGGGGTGTTGCTCCCAGTGCAAGCCTCAGAGCTTGCAGTGCAGGCATGGAAAGTTTCCTCAAACTTCCCAGAGACCTGCCGACCCTCAACCAGTCCCTTCACGGTCCCTCTATTCATGGCAAGCACCAAACCACAACGGCTCTGTGCAGCACACCAGTGCCACAAGGCCCAGGGCTGCTTCCCACCATTTGGCTGGGGTGGCCCCAAGCTGCGTGCTGGGCTCTAGGGTGCGGGCGTGATCCTTGCACGGCCACGCTCACACCACCAGTTGGGGTGAAGCTGGGATCGGCACCCCAGAGCCACGATTCAGACTCATCCCACGGAGCTCGTGGCTGCCACTTCAGAGCGCCGCTACGTAGCAGGACTGATATGCCGCAGCTATCCCGCTGCCTCCAGGCTCAGCAGGGAGCTCTAGAGGAGATGAGCAAAACTGGTCTCAAACCAAAATGGCACAGCTCCGTGCACAGCGACCGAGTCCATCCCGGCTCCCAGGGCCTTCTGCTTAAGCAGACCAAGAAGTGACAGCTGAGCATGGACTGTGACTCGGCCACAGTCACACGGAGCTGGAAGGGGGACCTGGGTCCCGAGCCCCATCCCACGTCCACTCACTGGGAAAACCTATCCCAGAGCCAGGCCAAAGAGCGCCCTCCCCTGCTCCCCCATGAAGTCAGGACACGGCAGGGAGACTGATGGTGTTTAACCCCGACTCCCAAGCGAGCAGGGGTGGGGAGGGTGCCCGGCCCTGCAGCCAGGCCCGGCTCGGCTCCCGCAGCCTCCTTGGCGACGGGGTGACGCAGTCCCCGGTGCTTGCGTGGTGGGCAGCCGGCACTGGCAGCTCTCCCGCATTATGTAACCTGGTGCAAGGCCTGAGCAATCGGGTTGGCTTCGAACGTGCCGCACAGCGAGTCCCGCCGTCGAAACGGCCCCAGCCAGAGACTCCCCCCGTCACCATTGTGCCCGGTAATCGCTTCCGACAGCGATCCCAAACGGATTCATTCAGCCCAACTAAGCCTGAATGGAGCTTGTCAGCTCCGGCGCGCCGCGGAGAGAGACGAGGCCCGGACGGGAGCGGAGCCGAGCGGAGCAGGGCTCACGGGGCAGGAGTCAGCCCCCGGGGAGGAGACGTGCACCGACAGCTCCCTGGATCCGTTCCTCCCCAACACCTGGCAGGCCACACGGGATGACCTCCCCGTCTCCCCACTGCAGCTGACCGCTGGCTCGGCCAGGTGGTGGGGTGGGGAGAGACGGGGTCACTGGGGGGGGACACGGGCATCTCCCCAAGGACGGCGAACCCTGGAACGTCACTCTTCTCTTGGAGGAGGGTCTTGGCAAGCTCGTGGCCCTGGACTGCCCAAGGGAGGTCCACGCTTCGCATCCTGAGCTCCGCCTGCCAAGCCCGGCTACCGCACGGCTGCAGCTGCCTTTCCCAGTTGCACCTCGGTTCTCAGCCAGTCTTGTGCCACGCGGCGACATCCCAGTGACCCACCACCCTCGCTGACCGTCTCGAATCAAAGGGCCGAGCGAGCCACCCCGCTCTCCCCGAGCTCCATTTCCAGCCATGCGTCTGCCACGGCACTGGTATCTCAAGCCCAAATCCGCTCCCCTAGGCCACGTTCACATCCCCCGCCTGCACCTGGTGATCAATCCCTCAGCGCCCACCTGCCAGCCCTGCCCTGCCTTGCATTATTCCCCACTGGCTTTCTGACCGGGCTGACTGCTAGGAGGAAGGTCTCCGGAGAGCATGCTCTCCCAGGACGGGGGCCGGCGGTGCTCACTGCACCTGATGTTCCCCTGCATCACGCGGCGCGGAGCCGTCGGAAGGAATTACAGCCGAGCGCCGCTGGAAACGCCCAAGGGAACCAAGCCTTCCTCCCTGCCCAGACATCTCTGTAGCTGCACAGAGACGGCGTCTCCCGCTGCAACAGCACAGCAGGCTGCGAGCACGTGGCTGGAAAGGGAAAGGTCAAAGAAGTGCCTGAAAAGCCTGGGCGGCTTTGGAGACGGGTGCCGGGCCCCCTCCGTCCCTGCAGCGCAGAGCGACAGGCAGCAGAAGCTGGATCTGGTCCCGGCGCGACGTGCCAGGCTGCCCCATGGGTCACAAGCAGGGACAGAGGAGCCTGTGCGTGGCTCTCCCGGCACCCGCAAGACGACGCGCTGGCAGGGCCTCCTGGCCCAGGGCCGGCGCAGGGGGAGCCTAGGTTGCCCACGACCTACAAATGCAAGAAGTCAACCCCCAGCACCGGGCGAGAGCGTGCGGCCCAGGCCAGGCTCCCTCCCCGCTCGCGCGTGCGGCGTCTTAGGGGCATCTTCGCTCCGTGGGGGCCCGATGCCGGGAAGGGGATCAGCCCCCAACATGGAGGCTGCTCTCATGCCATTAGCAAACGGCTCGTGCCGGCTCCTTCCCGCAGCTGCTCCCGTCTCTGCTCAGCGGCAGCTCTGGGGACGTCTCGGCTCCTGCCTGCAGGTGCCAGCCCCGACGCAACCCTCCATTAGCGTCTGCCACGAAACCCTCCATTAGCGTCGCCCTAATGGCTCGTGGAGTCCCCAGGCCGGGCCGGGCAGCCGCGCTCCCCCTTGCACCTTACTCCACGTCGCATTGGATCCTGCCGACACAGAGCTGGGCTCGTTTCATTTCTTTGCTCAAAGCACAACCAGATAAGACAGAAACTTCCCTGGAGCGTCCCTCTCTGCCTGGCTCTCTCCAGGAATGGGCCAAACAGAGGTGCAGACTGACAAGAGCCACGCCACCCCTTCCCCCATGCTGGCCCCCTCCTCCCCACGCATCAGCCTTCCCCGAGGGGTTGTTCTCCAAAAAGAGGAGCTCTCGGTCCTGCCATGCCCGAGTACCCTCCCCGCATGGGCCCAGGCGTCGGTCCCCTGCACTGCTCGTGCAAACTCCAACCTTTGAAAAGCCTCAGGTGAGCTGGAGGGTCCCCCCCAGCCTGGCGGCCAGGAGCACGAGTCCCCTGGGAAGAAGGAGAGAAGAGACCCCCTTGCACGGCACAAACGGAGGCACTGCTAGCAGAAGGTCCTCAGACG